GAGATTTTAAGAATGTTTGTTTATTATAGTTTTTTTTTAATTTAAGAAATGTTTTGCCATAGACTTCTGCTACCATAGAGGCACGATCAACAAATAAATGCTGATTCTCTGAAAACATGATCCTTCTGAGCATACTGTTTTACTGGATTTCTCCCTTTTATCTTCATCCCTTTTCCTCCCAAGTCCCTCTTGTTTTCCATTTACAGAAACAAATGAAAGCCTATTCCAGACGTTTTTGCTAAAAATAAAATGGAATAATGCAATTCATTTTCTTTGAAGAGTTGAAAACAGAGAAGTCCACTTGAGTAAGAAATGAAGGAAATCAGAGTGATTAGTGAATGAAACTGACCTGGGAGTTCAGAACACTAGATGATCATTTGCCAATAAATGCTGTGGTATTAAATATGTGTGTAACATCCAACTCTTTCAGGTTTTACTAATGCTGTAATTAATGTGAACCAAGCACAGCTGTGACTGCATGCCAGCCAGACCAACAGACATACTGCTCGTGGTCACATAGCTTCTGCTCTCATGGGGAAAGTGCGCGAAAAGTACATGGACAGCTACAGTGGGACCAGGGAAACCAAGGAAGGACCTGGGAGAAACTAAGGCAACTCCTAGTGACCTCATTTTAGGGGTCAAGAAAGGCTTTTTATAAGGAAGAGACATCTTCCTTGAGAACCGAATAATGAGGAGGAAGTTAGCCACCTGGACATGGATAGAGAAAGAACACTCTAGCCTGGGGGAACTGGAAGAAGTTCAATATGGGAGTATCACAGAGCAAGTGTTTGGTGTGAGGTTATGGGGACAAGGGAGGAATATGGTAGGATACTGTGAATAAGCAAAATAAGGCTGAATGAGTAAGCCCAGGCATAAAAGTGGATGTTACAAAGAATGGGAGAGGAAACTGTCTAGGGAAGCAGAATCTCTGGTCAGTGCTGAAGAGAACATGAAGATAACAGGAACCATTCTTGACAATTCGAATCAAGTAAAAGGATCACATCTGAGAAAACCCATGACACTCTTCCTGGTCTCTGTGGCAATTTCTGTTTTTGTTCAATTTCATGCATATAGGACAGAGCCAGAAACAACAACTAAAAAGAACAAGAAAGTGTGAGTACTTTGCAACTATAACTCAACTTTGTCAGCTCTGTCCACGAATTTAGTTACTAAATTTTCACTTCTTGCAAAACCAATGAAACTTACGAAAACCATAATTTAGTGGTTCTCAGAATCCTAGAGTGATGCAGTAAAAAAAATCAGCAAAGGGTTGAAAGGGTTCCTATTCTTTCACAATGCCAAAACACTCACATATTCATATGTTAATATGGTTTGGTAACCATAGAAAAGTGGGAGAAAGAAAAAAATTGAACCCTCTTTTCACTGTCATTTTGGAGTATTCCTCAGGAATATGTCTTCAGTAACTTAAGTATGCTCATGCTTTACATATAAGCTTCTCAACTTATTTCTCTGAAGGCTATATCATACGTAGTTTTCCATGGTATTACAAATCTTTTATGTCTTAATGACCATCGAAAATACCACTTTCTAATACTAATGTACACATGTGAAAACCAACTTAACCATTTCCATAATGATTTGGATATTTTACAAATTTTAAGTTACAATAAATATTTTGGTGACATTACTTAACTGGTGGATTGGTTTAATAAGATCGTCGTGTTCAGTGATGCACATACAATGATAGATGAGAAACGATTATTGGTTACAGGGAGTTTGCTGTCTTCTTGGTCATAAAGTGTTTTCTGTATTCAGAATGCTTGCCCTACCGTGGATTTCCCAATGTGAAAAAACTAAGTATAAACATGGTAATGTCTCCCAGTAGTTATTACTAAATTAATTTCTTAAAGAATTTAACAATTCATAATTACCCCCAGAAATGTTAAAAAGAAACTTATTTTTGCTATTATTTGATCCAGACTTTTAAATTATGACTTACATAAAACTAACTCAAACTAGGATTAAGTTAGAAAAACAAAGTGAGGGTAGGAGGTTCGGGACATTGATTTAAGCTCCAGTAACGACCCAGTAGAAGGCTATTGGCTTCGGGTGTTGAGAGATCCAGGGGCTCAGACAGGGGCACCTGGGTTCAGTTTTTTTCCATCTCACACTCTGATTTTTTTTTTTTCTGATGGCTTCACTCAGGTAGGCTCTGTCTATTCAGGAATATAGATATTCTAGGTTCCATACTCCTCATTTTCAGTCTTGCAAAAAGAGAGCACATTTCACATTTCAATAACTTCAACAAATGTCCTAGAATTGAGTTTCTTGGCATGGCTTAGTCCTTGTTAATCTTGGAACAAACCACAGTTGCCATGAGATGAAATCATGAATCAGCCATGAACTGATGGCTGGTGAATCAGCCATGAAATTCGCTAATTGACAAAGCCTGGATACTCTGCCTCACTCAAAAGACAAGACCGAGTGCCTAGGAGGGGCTGTGTCCCAAAGGAAATAAGGCTGTTCTCACAAAGAGAAAGAGCAATGGATACTGGAAGGGCAAAGACAACTATATTCACCCAGATTGGTAGAATCATGCTTTAAGGAGATCAGAAAACTAAACTAAAGAAGATGAAATAACTCACTATCATCCTGCTAATTAGGCACTAAACTGAGAGTAAGACCCACATCCATGTGCGGGTATGTCAATGCTGTTTGGGGAATTCTGTATTTCTTTTTTTCATGATCAACACATAATTGAGTACCTATTGTACATAGAGGTTTTCTCTTTAAAGTAGCTGAATGAGACAAAAACAATATGCTAAGTGACACAAATAAATAGATAGAAGAAAATTATGAATTCAGTTGAGAGAAATGTAGGAAAGCCTCACAAATGAGATGGCCAATCAGGGTGAATCAAAAATTATATCATCTCTGCTGCAATGAGCACATTTTGGGGAAACATCCCATTGCACTGCAAAATACATTTTCTCCAATAAGGTCTATGTACCCTTTCCCCAACCACGAGGGGCATGTAGCTCTGGAAACCATGTGTGGCCTGTGTCTCTCTGAAAGCAGAACCCAGGCTGAGTTGGTCAGAGGTGAACATCTGACCTGAACTGGGTCAGTTAAGTTCTCTTCCATAGGAACTCAGGATTTCTGCCATCTCAGAGAGAAACCAGAACTCAGCTGAGGTCTAGCTATGAGCACAGGGTTTGGTGTTTAGAAAACAAGCAGGGTCAAGAAACTACCTGGCCCTTAATGGATTCTTAGCCTGCTGTCATCTCGGTTTGAGGTTCTTGTGAGACACAGTCATTGTTCTGTGAGTTCAGCAAGATATCTCAATACCCCCTATATTTTACTGAGCTTGTTTAACTCAGCTTCTAATATTTGCCGTCAAAAGCAAATATTGAATATGACATTAGTTCTGATATTCACCTTTCTTTCAATTTACCTAAAAATTGAATCCTAATATTTCCTATTTTACTTCACACATTTTAAAACCTGAGTTCTGTCAACTCAGGTTAGATCTCTTTGATTTCCTTCTCCCATAAGCTCAAGAAAATTTACATTATAATAATTTTATGTAATGTGTATATATATATATATATATATATATATATATATATATATATATTTTTTTTTTTTTGAGACGGAGTTTCGCTCTTGTTACCCAGGCTGGAGTGCAATGGCACAATCTCGGCTCACTGCAACCTCCGCCTCCTGGGTTCAGGCAATTCTCCTGCCTCAGTCTCCCAAGTAGTTGGGATTACAGGCACGTGCCACCACGCCCAGCTAATTTTTCGTATTTTTAGTAGAGACGGGGTTTCACCATATTGACCAGGATGGTCTGGATTCTGACCTCGTGATCCACCTGCCTCAGCCTCCCAAAGTGCTGGGATTACAGGCTTGAGCCACTGCGCCCGGCCCCATGTAATGTATATTTTTTTAAAAAATAAATAAATAAGTTTCAGCTAGATTGTCAATGTCCTAAGTGAAGGAGTCACTGCTTCAAGTTTCATGAGATTTTGCCAGTGTACCTAGAAAAAGATGCAGTTTATTGCTCATAAATAATAGTGATTTTATTTCAAAGGAATTTTGCATAAGTATTTTACATAAATGAGTCTTCCAATAACATAAATATTCATAATTAGCTAAGTCCTCATCTTCTTATGTATGAAACTACCACATACAATGACAAAAGCAATCATCATTTCCCAGGGAACACCCTGATCAGGGATTGTGCAGCTGGGAGTCAATCATTAGCAAGAGGCGCTCTATCTGCAGGAGAGTCAGGTGCAGCCAGGAAGAATCTCATTCTGCCTTTCTACCATCTTTCCAGCAAGCTTGTTTTATGGGTCAAATTGATTTAAACGAATTCCAAAGGCAGCCTTAATGAGCACAAACAATCACAGAGAGGAAGCCACTAGGATGTAAGTGATATGAGAAAAGCATCAGTAAGTCTTTGGCTCAGTCACTAATACAGAAGTTATGGAGACATTGCATGGATGGGGAAATAGAGTCATGTCTTTTCCCAGTGCCCACCTACAGCTACTTCCTCAAACCTATTCCCAATAAGGACTAAAGAGAAAAATGAAGGCCAGATGTGGTGGCTCACGCCTGTAATCCCAGCACTTTGGGAGGCCGAGGCAGTGGATCTTGAGGTCAGGAGTTTGAGATCAGCCTGGCCAACATGGCGAAACCCCGTCTCTACTAAAAATACAAAAATTACCTTGGTGTGGTGGCATACACGTGTAGTTCCAGCTACTTGGGAGGCTGTGGCAGGAGAATCCCTTGAACTCGGGAAGTGGAGGTTGCAGTGAGCTGAGACTGTGCCACTGTACTCCAGCCTAGGCAACAGAGCGATAGTCTCAAAAAAAAAAAAAAAAGAGGAGAATAAAGAACGAGTATGTTTTTACCTATTTCTTTAAATACTGAGTAATAATTATGTGCCAGATGTAGTATTAAGAAAATGAGATTGCAGTTGTGAAAAAGAACTGCAGATTCCGTGATTTCACAAAACGTATCCTCTATTCTAGAGGGAGATGCAGACGCATGAACGGGGAACAATGATATGGCGATGTCAGTGCAGTGAAAGAAGTGTTCTGGAGACATCAGGAAACCATACAACCCAGGGAGCAGACGAATTTTCCTGTAGAAAGTAACATCTCTGCTGGGAACATTCAGACGAGGAAGATGAGGTAAGATGAATAATGGGTCAAGAAATGGGACTGCATTCCCAAAGGTCCAGAGACCAGAGCTAGATGCAGGAAGGTCAGCAGGCCTGAGAGTTATCCAGATGGCCAGAGCTCAGGCATGAGGAGAGTGATCACAAGAAATTAGGCTGTCAAGAAAAGATGAGCCAAATCATAAAGGGTAGTGAAGATTGTTGCCAGACACACTACTGTATACTTCATAGTATACTTTATAGGAGAGATCGAAGGCAGGCGCGGACATAATGAGCATGCATTTCAGAAAGGTGAGTGTTGGAGTAAACTAGAGAAGATACTGGAACGGGAGAAAACTGGAGGCAGAGAAGTTAAAGACTAGTTAGAGACGGTATTATCGGCATTAATCCAGGGTACATCTGTCGAGGCTTGCACAAGACTCCCTGGAGACGAAGCCCAGTGGATGAATGCATGTCAGAGACTATGGAAGCACCTTTGGCACCTTCCGAGCCCTCTGAGCTGTCAGCATACAGGGGGTTATACGTTTCGTTCAGCATCCCTACCTTGTATCATCTCACACAGGAAAGCACATCACTAGATTACAGCAGAGTCATGCTTTCCTCTTTCTTGTGAGGCGCTCAGCTGAAACACGGACTTGGGCAATTTCCTCTGTCCTTTCTTTCTCACTAAAGAAGGGACAGGGAGCCTAATGTGTTCAAAAAGCTGCTTTTTGCCCATTTCCCTGCAATCTCTGTGCCCTGTGAGAAGTGAAGTCTACAGGGAGAAACTGAAAAGAGTAAATAGAGGCAGAATCGACTCCTCATGCTTGTTTTCTTTGCTCTCACCTTTTCTTCCTGTCTGGAATGCAGACGTGTTGCCTGGAGACAGAGCAGCCACCTAAGGACCACGGAAACAAAAAGTCAAATGCCAAGGACGCTGCAAGAAGAAGGAAAGGGAAACCAAGTCCCTAAGACCTTAATGGAACTACTGATTTGTGTGACTAAAATAAACCTTTATTTAAGTCCTGGCGAGTGGTTCTTTTAACAAAGCAGTCATAACCAAACCAGCATCTTCTTTGCCACTTGACAGAGCCCTCTGGTATTGTTTTTTATTTTCCTTTTTTATCGAAGTAGTAAAACGAATGTTCTTTAGAGGAACAAATAAATATCCACCTTGGTTTTCCAAGCTGCCTTTCCTAGGTAGGGCTTTGTGAGGGAAACATTCATGGTGATATCCTCAAGCCTTCTGTGAAGGTGGGATAATATATCTCCAAAAGAATTTGTAGGGAGTGGGGATGGTTAATGGGTTAAAAATAGACACAAAAAAATAAAACTTAGAATCTGACAGCACAACAGGGTGACCATAGTCAGTAATAATTTAATTATGTATTTTAAAATAACTAAAACAGTTTAATTGGATTGTTGGTAACACAAAGGATATATGCTTAATGGGATGAATACCCCATTTTCCATTATGTGATTATTATAATTTGCATGACTGTGTCAAAGTATCTCGTATACCCAATAAATATATATATATGCCTGCTATGTACTCACAAAAATTAAAAATAAAATTTAAAAATTAACAAAAAAAGAATTTGTAGGAATGTTTAGTTCTCTCTCTGGCCATTTACAGTTTTCCCAGCCATGAAAAGAGAATCAAAATAATTTGATTTATTTGAGGAAACAGACTCTCTCCTTTGTATAGAATAATAGTGAAAAAAAAATACAAGAAGATAAGACTTAAACCATCAATTAACTTGACATTGTTCACTTGCCTGAACAGGCTGTCTGTGTCAGGGTCCTTGTCTTATCCTTGTGCTATAAATCTGTCATGGGCCGGGCGCGGTGGCTCAAGCCTGTAATCCCAGCACTTTGGGAGGCCGAGGCGGGTGGATCACGAGGTCAAGAGATCGAGACCATCCTGGTCAACATGGTGAAACCCTGTCTCTACTAAAAATACAAAAAATTAGCTGGGCACGGTGGCGCATGCCTGTAATCCCAGCTACTTGGGAGGCTGAGGCAGGAGAATTGCCTGAACCCAGGAGGCAGAGGTTGTGGTGAGCCGAGATCGCGCCATTGCACTCCAGCCTGGGTAACAAGAGCGAAACTGCGTCTCAAAAAAAAAAAAAAAAAAAAAAACCTGTCATGAAGCCTTTGGCTGCTCACTTACCTCATCCCAGCACAAAACAGTACGCTCTTCCTCACACATTTATTTGCTCTTTCAATAAACACTGAGTTTCTGTACTAATCGCTAGCATTGATTGTACTGCTTGTTAGATATAAAAGACAAACAAAATGCCCATCCTTGACTTCAAAGGAGGAGCAGCATGCCAGGAGGAGGGACATTTAACAAACAGCAGCAACATTCTTGGCGCCTTGATTCAGGCCTCCACAGCGCAGTGGGGCAGCATGGAGAAGTGGGTAGTTCCACTTGGAGATTAACCAAGTGTCCATAGAAGATATAGTGCTTCAGCAAATCTTGAGTATATGCTGATATTCAACAGGGGAACAAGGGAAGTGCCCGTGCCAGGCAAAGAAAGCAGCATCATCAAGGGCACACGGTAGAAAACAGAATATGGGGCCAGGTGCGGTGGCTCACGCCTGTCATCTCAACACTTTGGGAGGCTGAGGCAGGCAGATCACAAGGTCACGAGTTCAAGACCAGCCTGGGCAACACGGTGAAACCCCACCTCTACTAAAATGCAAAAAATTAGCTGGGCATGGTGGTGGACATCTGTAATCCCAACTACTCAGGAAGCTGAGGCAGGAGAATCACTTGAACCTGGGAGGTGGAGGTTGCAGTGAGCCAAAACTGTGCTACTGCACTCCAGCCTGGGCAGCAGAGCAAGACTCCATCTCAAAAAAAAAAAAAAAAGAAGAAGAAGAAGAAGAAAAGAAAATGGAATATGGTACATGAGATTGCAAAAAACATTAAACAAAGAGAAGGTCAGAAGCTGAGGCTTACATACACTGAGGAACTAAGGCCATGTAGAAAAGGGTGATAGAATCAAACATAAATCTGGGTTTTACAAAGATCATTCTGGACACATTAACATGGATAAAGTCATGAGATATCTCACCAGACTCAGAGAAATGATTGATTTTTGCCCTCTAAGTGTAAGATAATGAGACTCTTAATGTCCTAGGGTAGCAGTTATGCATCTGAGATGACAGAGAGCAAATTTTTTAAATATAAAGAATATGAATAAGGAAACCTTAGTGATTAGAGATGGGAGATAAGAAAAAGGCAGTTCCAAAGATGATCTAAATTTCCTTTTTGGGTGACTAGGCAAATCAAGATTCCCTTTTCTGATACAGGAAACAGATTTAAAAGAAGTAGGTTTGAAGGAGAAAGATTTTCAATCTGGCTTTAGATCGGGCATCACTGTGGTCTAGCAGAAATGTACATTTTGGAAGAAGACAGAGTTGAGTTCAAACCCCAGCTGTGCTGTGTCATAGATCTGTGGCCTTGGATCTCTCCCTTATGTCCCTGAGCCATGATTCCATCTGTAAAATGTAGATCACAATTTCTTCCTTGCAGAATTGTTTTGTCTTACAAAGTGTACAGGATGCCTAACAGTGCTCATTAAATGGTGACTGTTACCATTACAAACCAGAGAGGGAGCACCTGTGTGAAATCCAGGTGAGATTCTCCAGTGGCTGCTGGAGAGCTGACACTGGATCTCAGTGCATATATGCTCATTTATTGAAGGTGCTCAAAAATGTTGCTCACATTTCAGTTAATCTAATGATGAGACAGAAGCAATGAACCACAGAAAAGGATGAATGTCATCAGCAAGGACATGAAGAAAGAAAATATCTTTTTATAAACTGCTTTGTACCAGAAAAACGTACACAAATATGTCATTTCAATCATTTCAAACCCAGGAAACTATGTGATTTTATCTCAAATTTATCGAATAAGGAAATTGAAATTCAGGAATATTCAGTGGCTTTCCCAAGGCCACACAGCCAGTAAGTCCCTGTTAGGACTTGAGGCTTGATAGGCAGCAAAGCCAAGATGATGTCGCTGCACAAGTGTTTGCGTGTTTCTTCCATGCTGTAGTCTTCCTTTGCCATGTAGGTATAGAAAGGGTCAAACCGCACAACGCTTTGGTTGTGCACAGGAGCATAATGGCCCTGGATGCAAGGGCAGGTCATGTGCTGATACAAGCCTATGGAGAGAGCTCATAGAAGGCTCGGCACTGAGTCACAGACAGGACTTAACAAGTGCCAAACATCATTTTAGAAGACCTGGGAAGGTTGGGGTTTTTTTCCTGGAAAATAAAATAAGATTTAAAAACACACCATGTTTCTTTTATACAACAACAAATGTCCTGCAAGAAATGTGTATTATCTCTATTACTCGGGGAAATTCAGTGTAGAATTTGTCCCTGAGCTTTAGCATGAGCTGTGAGAGGGATGCACACTGCCCTCTGCTGGGTGGCGTGTATAAGCGCACTGGGTACAGTGCAGTCTCCATCAAAAGAGCTGTATTTCCTATGTTACTTAGAAAAGTAACGAAGGGTGACAATTCGTGTGAGCAACGCAGTGTTTACAGATGCATCTCTGATGCATAGTGCATCCCTCTCACAGCTCATGTTAAAAGTTCTGGGACAAATATATACTGTGTGTGTATATATATATTTATTTCTATATTTTTCTCCTTATCACAGATTGGCAAATGACAGCTATCTTTAACTTTTGTTTAAAGATACAGAAACAGAGATGGTCAATGAGACATCCAAGGAGATACAAATATTCACTCATCAGAGCAAGATGTTGCAACTCACTTTAACATTCTTTATAAAAGAGCGATTCATGATTATTAGAGTGCACATGAATCACTTGGGAATTTATTTAAAAAAAAAAAAAAATGGGCATGATTCCCAATGACTCTGACCTAGTTACTTGAGTAAAGCCCATGAATTGCATTTTTAACAAACGGCCGCGTATTCTAAGGCAGGCCATCTACAGACCTTGCTTTGAAGAAAATAAACACTGATCCACAATCCTCTTTGTCTCCCAAAGTTTTTGTTAAAAGCTGATTTACAGAAAACTTGAGATTTTAATTTTTATTTCTATCTGTGTAACCCTAAACAATATTATTTCACCTCTCTTGTCACTCTCTTCAACTGGAAACATTGTGTTACTCACACAAATTCTCACCCTTTGTTACCCTCCTAAGTTTGTGAACAAAAATATGTAGCACTTATATATGGGTGCTCGGATGATCATTTATTTTTCAAATGCATTACTATTTTAAATTATAATAGAAAATAAGCAAACTGCCAGTCAGGTCCTATTTTCCACAGGACACATATAGGAAAATAAGTCTTAGAGCTTAGTAGCAGCTGGTAAGAGCAAAACCTTGCTTAAGTTTTCTAACTCAAATCCAATTCTCATTTTGCTGCAGACTCTGTCATCAGAAGCTTTTCTCAAAATTCTTACCCCATATGTTTTTAACTAAGAAATAAAGGCATACTGAGTTCTCTTAGTGCCCCAGGAAGCTTTGGTCAAACTCAAGGGAAAACTCGGGAATGTTTTCTCGGCTCTTCATAGTAAACTACCTGACTTCTACAGGGTGCTCTATCGACATTTTCAGGTTTATTGTGAGGGTATCTTGAGACCCACACTTTGACCAAGGGAAAACTGTTGCTTCTAATTCTAAATCAATCTCTGCCCAATACATAACTCGAGTGGGGATTTTCTCACGACACAATAAATTTAAGAGTTTTCCTGGCTAAAAACGTATTTATTTTTAGTTTAATATAGAATCCCAGAGATTGCATTTGACCAAAACATTTCCATGGTCTTTTTCCTGCCTCATAAATCACAAAAATGTAAAGATTATCCCAATATGATTTAATGCTACAATAAGTTAAGTTTTAAAGTATTTTTATAGATAGAAGAGTATTTGCTAACAATTCTGTTCTATCCTTTTCCTGTTGAGAAAGCGTACTTCCTAGCCCTTTCAGCTTCCACATCTCTGAAAACTTCAGGAACAAAGTGTTTTAGGGGATATGAATGTAAGAGAACTGTGGCTGTATTTTAAGAATTTTCTGATCTCAAGCTCATTCTTGCAC